GGGGGGGGGGGGGGGGAGGGTTGCAGACAGTCCTTTAATAGCAGGGGACCAGGATTTTTCCTTACTGTGAAGGATTAAGAGTCATCTTTTGTTTGGTGAGTTTAAAATTCTTTTCTTCACAAAAGTGGGAGGGGGGGTGCAGTAGGCTCATAGAACTTCCACATGTCCAATATCTCTCTTATTCGAGACTAGCATTAAACAATAAAGAGAATTCTGTAGGAGGTGATATGCCCCCACTTCTAGATGAACCCTTTCTCCCTGAGTCTTGTGGAGATTTTTCACTATGCACAAAATCTTGTCTAAGATTGCATTAGGTATTAACTGTTCTTTACTGACTTTTGCTTCCTACAGCTAGAGTCCTTTTCATAATATCTGCAGCCGTACCTTCAGTTTCTTCAACTCACAGTTTCCTTCTGTATTTTTTTAGTATTTTCTTCCTCTGCTCATTCTATTTTCTTTTTCAGGAATATGCTGGATTTTTTCTGGGAAGATGTGAACATTAACATCATTACCCCCCAAATAAAGCATTGATGAGAGAACAGAGGAACATTCTACCTGTTTAGCTTGGGGAATGAGTTATTGAGCTTTAGTAACTCAGGGGCAGCTGTGTGACCAGAAAGCCTATCCCAGCCTGACTAGCCACTCTCAAAATCTGTCTTCCTAGAGGTCCCTGCCCAACTTGCAGTTGTCTCCATTGTAGTATTTTCTCCCCAGCAATCATTGTTTTGTTTTGTGACCTACTGGGTTTAATCAGTTCCCCTCACCCACCTGTGTGGGTCTGGGTCTTGGGAGATCCATTGGAGCACGGGCAACTCATCAGTGACTATAGCACTGAAGACAATGATTTCCTGTCTCTAGCAGTTAGCCCTCAACTGACATTCACTCCCATGGGAGGGACCATTCTTATGAGCACCTCCCAGACCTATGCCTGAATGTTAACTGAGTCTCTTAATTGTTAAAAATTTTAAAATGTACCATCAAATACATGCAAATGATTATCAAATCAGTTCATAAAGAGCTCTCTAAGCTTATTTGAAATATTTTGTATGATACTCAATAAATATTTATTGCAGTTAGCAAAAATTAAACAGAGTAGAAGCTAATTTATATTTTTTAATTTTTTTATTAGTTCAAGTTAGGAAACAAGCTTGTTTCACATTAAGTCCTTTCTCCCTCTCCCTCCCCTCACCCCCATTCCTCCTCCCCGACCCCCGCAAAGTCCACCAAATCTTCCTGTGCTGGGCCTGGACCCTTCCCCATGTGCCCAGGGCTATAGTGTATCTCTTCACATGGGATGGGCTCTCAAAGTCCCTTCTTACACCAGGGAAAAATGCTAATCCACTTCCAGAGGCTCCCTGGAGTGCAGAGGCCTCCTTATTGG